TGATCAAATGTAACAGTTCAGTTCTTGCCAAATTTTTCAAAAGTATGTCCGAGACAAAGATTCATTTCGATAAGATAGATGTTCTATAGCGGAAATATACTGTAAGATTTGGTCCAGTTTCCGGGGAGAGTACATGCCTAGTTTAACAAAATTTTTGTGGTTTGTGTTCGGACAACAAGGGAAGTAGACGTTATATTGCTGATTGTCACAATTGGAACATGTCAGTCGCAGACTATGATGCGATTTCCATGGAAAATCTTTCAATCATACACAATTATGAGAAATTTCGTACACATAGTTCCCTTCATTATCCTAAGGAGAGCTTTCTTAAAAATTATACATAGGTTCAAATGTTTACATAATTAAAACAAATAGACTCTGTACTGACAGGAGGGATATTGAGTTTACTTTAAAGAAACAAACTTAAGAAAACAGAAGTTAAATGAGTAAATAATTTAATCAGTATATTTACGAAACAAAATAAGAACAAAAGGCAGCCCATGTATTGCAAAAAGAATTAAAAACAAATGCATCCATCTGGTAAGATTGATGATATAGTAAGATTTTATTTAGTAACAGTTTAGAATGATACAACGAAAGTCCTAATTGACTGAGATTGAAGTCCCAGCTACCAGAAGAATGGGTTTGGGCAAACTCACGCTAAGGTAAACTTGCTTTTGAAGAATGTTCGGATCGGACTTCTGTTTGCTGCTTTAGATTGAATACGCCTTTTTTGGACATGGTCACTTAAATTCGCCAAAAGGTTACGAACTTCTGCACGTGTCAATGAGAGAGAGTACCATGGTTGTCACACCAGTGATGTGTAGCGGTAAATGAATTCCCAGAATCAATAGCTCTGCAAGTTTTCGACATTTGATGATGAACGCATTAGTTCGACTGGACTCACCCAAATGAAGGCTCTTAGCCATGCATCCTCATCAAATAACGAGTAGGTACGCCGTGATACACATCTCCTACAACATCTACCCCGACGTATCGATATTTTATCAAATATATCTTCGAACCTCTTCGCTTCTGACTGCTGAGTCGACTGAGTTGGAATATCTTGATTATAAAGGTTTATTGTTCAAGACAATGTCAAACTAAAAATAACTGTGGCATCTTTAAACGTATAACAGGCGGGAATGTTCAACATATCCATTAGTTGTCCATGTGTACGGATGAGGATGTTCATAGGGAATTTGGTCCTATCAGCAAATGATCTAGGTTTAAGAATACTTGAGGGTGTTGCTCTGGTTAAAAGATGAATTACCCTTGGTGCTGCGGCAACAATGGGATTTGGAATATCTGTTCCTTTGAAAACAGAATCTTAAGACGATGGGTTTCTCTAAAGAACTACTGAATGTTATCGACTATTTCACAGAGTAAAATAGATAGTCAATCTTCTGAGTAACTTAATGTTGCTGTCTGACGTATGATATTAGATCATCAACTTTATTGCTTTAAAATGAAATAGGAACATCTGTAACTTGTTTTTCTAGACTAAACGAGAAGAATCCCCTGGAGCGGCTTTATTCGGTTTATTGGCCAATGATTCCTTAGAGTCGTAATAACATTTCTACTTCCAAGATGTTTTCCAATTCTATGTCGTGAAAGAGTTCATATGACTTCTGTCGACTAGTTAGATCTCCGTGTTTGAGGAAAGTTTTTGTAATGTTCGGTAGGCTGCTGATATAATATTAGTAATTATTCTTACTTTAAGTAACTCTTAGGCTATCACTAATGTGCCCTCACAAGTACGATTAACTGTGCATTTGCCTTAGTCATTCTGGGCTCATGGAAGTTAGGTTCTTAATGAAAAGACCTGTAGTTAGTGTCACCAGACTAAAAAAAGGTAATTTGAAAGTCAGGGAACGTTAAAGCCGTAATTTGTGGGTGTTCAAGTGTGCAGTCAAATCTTGTAAAACTGAAACACGAAAATGTGTGAAAAATTAGAGAACATAAGGAATATCGTGATATCTACGAAATATGTAAAATATGCTTCAACAAATATCAGATTCACAGTAGATCTCTTCATGTACCAGATCAAGAGGCACTGGACAACGGGACGGACAATATCACAAAAATTTAATACGTCTCTTCTTCGGGATAATGACAAACTCAATAAATTCAAGATAACCCTCAGCAATAAGTTCCAAGCCTTTCATGATCTACTCAATGGAGAAGGAACTACTATGGAGAGCAACTGGAAAGAGATAAAAGAAGCAATCACTTCAACATGTCATGAGGTTCTGGGCCAAAAGAAGCACCATCACAAGGATTGGATCACGGTCGATACACTGGATAAGATTCAAGAAAGGAGGAACAAGAAAGTAGCAATCAATACCAGTCGAACAAGAGCAGAAAAAGTCAAGGCACAAGCTGAATACACAGAAGTAAACAAGCAAGTGAAAAGGAGCATCAGAACTGACAAACGTAAATATGTGGAGGATTTGGCATTGACGGCGGAAAAGGCTGCCAGAGAAGGAAACATGAGACAACTGTATGACACAACAAAGAAACTCTCTGGAAATCACCGTAAACCAGAACGACCAGTGAAAAGCAAGGAAGGCAAGATAATCACCAACATTGAAGAACAACGAAACAGATGGGTAGAACACTTCAAAGAACTCTTGAATCGACCAGCCCCACTGAACCCACCCAACATCGAAGCAGCACTCACGGACCTCCCAATTGATGTTGGCACACCGACAATTGAAGAGATCAGCATGGCTATCAGACAAATCAAGAGTGGCAAAGCAGCAGGACTAGACAGCATTCCAGCAGAGGCACTGAAAGCAGACGTAGCGGCAACTGCAAGGATACTCCAAACTCTCTTCAGAAAGATCTGGGATGAGGAACAGGTACCAAAAGACTGGAAAGAAGGACTCCTAGTCAAAATACCAAAGAAAGGCGATCTCAGCAACTGTGACAACTACAGGGGAATCACTCTTCTTTCAATACCAGGAAAAGTCTTCAACAGGGTATTGTTAAACAGGATGAAGGACTCCGTAGACGCCCAACTTCGAGACCAACAGGCAGGATTCCGTAAGGATAGATCGTGCACAGACCAAATCGCAACTCTACGGATCATTGTGGAACAATCAATTGAATGGAATTCATCACTCTATATCAACTTCATCGACTGCGAAAAAGCATTTGATAGCGTGGACAGAACAACCCTATGGAAGCTTCTTCGACACTACGGCGTGCCTCAGAAGATAGTCAATATCATACAGAATTCCTATGATGGATTAAACTGCAAAATCGTGCATGGAGGACAGTTGACAAAGTCGTTCGAAGTAAAGACTGGTGTCAGGCAAGGTTGCTTACTCTCACCCTTTCTCTTTCTCCTGGTGATCGACTGGATCATAAAGACATCAACATCTGAAGGGAAGCACGGGATACAGTGGATAGCTAGGATGTAATTGGATGATCTAGACTTTGCAGATGATCTGGCTCTTCTATCGCATACACAACAACAAATGCAGGAGAAGACAACCAGTGTAGCTGCAGCCTCAGCAGCAATAGGTCTCAATATACACAAAGGGAAAAGCAAGATTCTTCGATACAACACAGCATGCACCAATCCAATCACAATTGACGGAGAAGCTTTGGAAGATGTAAAAACCTTTACATATTTGGGCAGTATCATCGATGAACACGGTGGATCTGATGCAGATATGAAGGCACGTATTGGCAAAGCAAGAGCAGCATATCTACAACTGAAGAATATCTGGAACTCAAAACAATCAGCAACCAACACCAAAGTCAGAATTTTCAATACAAGTGTGAAGACAGTTCTACTGTATGGGGCGGAAACCTGGAAGACTACGAAATCCATCGTCCAAAAGATACAGGTGTTTATTAACAGTTGTCTAGGCAAAATACTTCGGATCCGTTGGCCGGACACTATTAGCAACAACCTACTGTGGGAGAGAACAAATCAGATCCCAGTGGAGGAAGAAATCAGGAAGAAACGCTGGAAGTGGATAGGACACACATTGAGGAAAACACCCAACTGCGTCACAAGACAAGCCCTCATATGCGATCCTCAAGGTCGAAGGAGGAGAGGAAGACCAAAGAATACATTACGCCGGGAAATGGAGATAGATATGAGAAAAATGAACAAGAATTGGATGGAACTAGAAAAGAAGGCCCAGGACAGAGTGGGTTGGAGAATGCTGGTCGGCGGCCTATGCTCCATTGGGAGTAACAGGCGTAAGTAAGTAAGTAAGTAACGCTGATCCCAAAGTCAATAAGACTAGAGTTTGAGAATAACTGAACGTGAACGTATGATTTAATTCAACATAAATGAATCGAAAGGTGTATGAAATCTATGCTGACTGGTTGTCTTGCGAAATAGTTAGCATGATGAACACAGATGCCATGTGGTGTGAATGGCTGGCCTGAAGCCTGCAGTTACGAGTGTATCTAATTAAACTAATGAGGTTTGCATCTGTATAGAGGACTTGAAAGACTAACTGCCATGTTGATTTATTTTCAATCAGCTAAATTTCGGCTAAGTTTGGAATCCCAGGATACAAAAATATATGAGAGAAATTCATCAGAACGTTTCACCTACTGTATCGGTGCACTCCTCTAAAGGCTTGATTCTTAGTGGTACCGATGGAGATAATCCTCATTCAAAGTCATTCACAACGAACGATTTGTCTTTGAAGCTAACGAAAATCTCTCTCATAATTCAGACCCGATTTCGAAGGAACTATCAAGTTGTTATTTCTCCCTGAAAATTTTTGGATTTCGAATTACTCGGCGACAGCAAACCTGGAATCGTAAAACAATTCAATGGGAAATAAGTGTAATAAAAAAGGTGGAAAAAAGAAAATATAGGAGTGAAGACTACTATTTATACAATCAAATGTATACCTTTTGTTTTACACATCCAATTGAGTGAACTTGTACTAGAAGTAGTTCGGTTTGTGTATATTTGGTCACGTATTTGGCTACCAATCTACTTCGGTTGTTTATCACAAAATATGTCATCTATAAGCGAGTGTTTGTTGAAATCAGTGGCCCCAACCAACATTGAGCCTCGTTCTCGTAGTAAAGTGACTGTTATAGGTGTTGGAATGGTTGGAATGGCTGCAGCATTCTCTACCATGCAAGTAGCAGGAGAACTCGCACTCATCGATGTCGTAGCAGATAAGGTTAAAGGAGAAGTTCTTGATCTACAGCATGGTCAACAGTTTATTGGCAGGTGCAAAATCGATGGGGGGACCGACTACAAATACTCTGCGAATTCAGATATTGTCGTCATCACTGCTGGTGCCAGACAAAACGAAGGAGAATCACGACTGAATCTTGTTCAGCGTAACGTTGATATATTCAAGAAAATAATACCAAATGTTGTCAAATACAGTCCGAACTGCATCATAGTTGTCGTATCGAACCCTGTCGATATTTTGACATATGTAGCTCGAAAATTGAGTGGATTTGAAGCTCATAGAGTAATTGGGACCGGAACCATGCTTGACTCGGCAAGGTTTCGTTTTCTGTTAGGTGAAAAATTGGGAGTGTCTGCCAATTCTGTTCACGGATATGTAATTGGTGAACATGGTGACTCGAGTGTTGCTGTTTGGAGTAATGTGAATGTTGCTGGAGTTCGGCTTTCTTCTCTAAATCCAAAGATAGGATGCAAAGATGATCCTGAGAATATGGAAGAAATACACAAACAAGTTGTTCAGAGTGCTTATGACATCATTCGCTTGAAAGGTTACACCTCATGGGCGATCGGGTTGACATGTCGATCACTTTGTAACGCACTGTTAAATAACCTTCATACAGTTTATCCACTCTCTGTTCCAGTCAAAGGAATTCACGGGATAGAAGAGGATGTTTATTTGAGTTTACCATGTCTTGTTACTTCAGCTGGAATCAGTCATTTGATTCCTCTTGAACTCAGTGCGGATGAATTGTGTAAACTGAGAAAAAGTGCTGCGACTCTGAATGAAGTTATAACAAAAATCAAATGGTAAAGTCGTACCATTCATAGTTGTCGCATGTTCACGTATCAAAGAATACTAGCTTTTCCCCTTTTCATGTATGTTCTCTGTTTTTCAGTTAGTAAGTATTAGATATGATGCATCTTAATTTTTGTTTCTTGAAATTGTTTGTTAAATTTGTATCCAAAGAATTAAACATAAATTATTCGGTTAGAAATTTGAACAACTTTCCTTTTTTCCTGCTAGCTGTAGTCGTACATGGTCTAAGGTTTAATAAACTACAGTAGATTTTCCCGCTCATCTTTGGAGTGATTTACGTTCCTGTTACCTTACAAATCAGGTTTTTATGGTACCGCATATTGTGAGGAGGCTTTATAAGCCATCCTTTAACTTACCATTCGTAATAGTGTCACATTAGCTAAGAAGATTCGGTTTTTTTTGTAATCCTTTTCCGACAAAATTAGTTTATTGGAAAACATTTGAATATATTCTGAGTTGCGTAATCACTTATGAAGTCCGACACTTGATTGATATCAATTCGATGAGATTTTCAGCAGTAAACCGAGCTGTTGGTTCATGATACCGTTTAATGTATTAATCCATGAAAATTTTCAACGAACTTTGAGACCTTGTTTCTCAATTATTCATCAGACTGTCATGATGTATTTTCACTTATAATCATATCGAGATTACCCTATTTTTATTTATTTATTCATTTGAACACATAAATATTGGTACAAGAGGGCACCAAATATATATGCGCCACACTACTCTAGACAATAACAAAACTAGACATTCATTTTAACGAGTACAGAAATTATCTCATAGTATCCCGATATTTCATCACTTGACTAAAGCTAAGTAAGCGAATATCTATGTGATATGAGGAAACTATATTAAGCATTACTCATCATACATATAGTTTTCTAGTTCTTTATCCTCGATACTTTCTAATCACATATTTTGACAAGATTCGGGGGCTTCTATGAATTAAATGTTAGGTTAGAATCTAAATATCCCCCCCAAAATATGTCTCATTCTACAGGGGCTCATTCGTGATAGATTTTTATTTTTGTAACTAATATGGCTTCAAGTTGGTGATTGCTTGGTTGCCGTTTTTGTCAACAACAAACCTAATGATGTTTAAAAGACAACACTAGATTTTTAACATATACTCTCTCGGCTTCTTAGCTTATTGGTTATCAATCCTTAAAACCGCTTCCCCAAAACCAAACGCGAAATGTTAATAAAAGTCTCATTTTAGAATAAGACTAGTATTCATTCAAATGGTGCTAATAAGTCACGAATTCTTATTAACAATTTTAGATTTGATGACTTAAAAAGTCATATGTATACATCTCCAGAAAAAATAAATTGTTTTGTATTTACCTAACCTTCTGTTGATACAAAGCTTTTAGTACAAAACGTTTATCCAGGACGATACAAAACAAATCATATCAGCTAGTATAGTATTCTAAAGTAAGATAACGCCTAGTTAGGTGAATTCGCTAGTACAATCCTAATAATATGCGCTTTATAGCACGCTTATGTAATGATGGCTTGCTATGAGTCCTAATTACACACAAAGAAAAGCCAAAAGAATGCATTATACGATTTTTAGTGATAGCGATACAAAAAGAGGTGAAATGTCATACTATAAACGGTGTACTCTAGTTGCATCTGTATGTGCTTAATAAATCATATAAAGCAGAAATTTATGAAACGTAATCATCCTCACCAATCAATTTCTCTTGTCAATTACCAGGAAGCTTTCATTTCATGCTAGTGTTCGTGCTTATTGTTATGGATTTGATTCGTTGTTAAACGCAAGTGCATTTTACGAACTTACAAATTTGTCGTCTCATTTTTGTTTTGTTACTTCATATTTCTAATTCTCAAACACGTGTTACTTTAATACTCCTCCTTTTTTAACGCACAACGTACTTCCGCAATAGATGAAAGCCTATCAAAGTCCAAACACTACATCGATCATAGCATTATCGTTCTTTTATTGACAAACAAAAATAGTGTATCACGGTAATAATGGATCAGACCAGGGTACCGTGACTGATTACTTAACATATCGAGTGCTTTTAGGTCTAAATAGGTCAATAGAGAGACCTTTGAGGGACTGTGAAATCATATATCTTGTTAGTCCGTTGGAATTCTGTGGTCGAATTCTTTGGAATGAATATATGTGTCTTAATCACCTCAAATGCAATCTTACTCGGTAGAAATTCGCGAATGATGGTAAGGGCCCAATCAGTAACAAAGCAGAGATAAAAATAAAATAGGAAAACTGAACTGCAAATCAGTGGATTGGTACCTTATTAGAATATATAATAATCAGAAATAAACAGTAACGACTCATCAAAGGATGTGATGACGGAAATAGTTATGCACCAAATATTCTCCATGGATGTCACGTACTCTTGACTTGTTCTCAAGTCTATGGAGTCTACTCAGATTTTGCCTATTTACATAATTTCTTTTCAGTTTCAAATCTTCTACAGAATTGGTGTAGTTAGAAATTCACAAGAATTGTGGTCATTAAAAAGTGGTTGAGTAATTTTCATTTGATCCACATATCTACTATATACTGAGTGGTAAACAAATTATGTTGCGGAAATTAGCACACAATGCATGTCTATTTACAGGTTTGATCGGTTTGCACAGCAAACAACATTACATGTAAAGAACAAATATTAGTGGTCAAACTGTTCACAACGATTCCACTGATAGATTATTTTGAGGGAAAAGTAGTCATAAGGAGTATTGTATTGTGAAGGAGCAAATAGGAACCAGAAATCTTCAGTAGGAGGACCAAAATATCCTGTCGAAGTTTGACTAGTAAACCGAAGGGTATTTACACTATGGTTACGGTGTAATTACAATCATCAACAATTCAAGGGAAAATGAGGACTGTGAGGATGAACAACATGATTAAAAAGCACTGCATTAAGTCTGCTATTTTACATGTGCTGTGATGTTTTATGTTATACCACTTTGGGTAGAAGAGATGTCTGAAAATTGCGCTTAGTGGAAACAACGGTCAAACATCTAATGTCTTTCTAATTTCACCAGTGGAATAGGATATAGTCACAGGTGTAAGTATTGTCGAAGCGATTTAAAATGAGTGACAATCATCGATGTAAAAAACAAATGGTAGTGTTGATTTTGTTTCACAGAAAGTTGTTGCAATTTGCCCGGAATCTCCGAAAGTTCCCTTGCAAAATAATTTATAGGAGGATAAGATTAGGAATGCGGCAGTCTCACTTTCGATTGACAGTTACGAACGCCACAACTAAGTGCTGATATTAAGAATATCTGAGATTCGACTGGTAATTTCTTGAAGCGTATTTCTTGTATGTGGTCAGTTCTGGCTTACGCAGTAATACTTCACTTCTTATGAAGTTATACTCACTTACTTAGTTCAGATCATCTAAGGTTTGGGAAGGGTGTTTAAACCTTCATCAACTTGTAAATCTTGCTATTTCCCATAGCCCGTCAAATACTACGTGACAAAATCACCAATCAGAACACCGACCTCCATGACGTTATCTCTGTGCCAGACCGGTGATGTTTTAGCCGGCACTAGCAATGTTGAGTCAACTCTGAGCCTAATCGGTCCTCTGTATAGTAGCTTCTCGCCCAACTCAGTCCGTCCAGTCCAGAATACAAATATCGGTCTCCGATATGTGAATCGTATATTTCAGATATACATGGTTTATATACAGGCAAACTAGATCGTATCACACCATAAAATAAAAAGTATTAATTACACAAGATCGATCCAAAAGTGGGTGTGAGTACGGTACACTAAAACGAATAAACTGGGAATATGTTAACAGTGGCCAATAGGTCTATTGGAAGCTTTTGATAAAATGGAATATGTATATATACATAATCTAGTTACATAATAATTATCCAGTAAACGTATATATAATAACAGTCCATGAACAATTCTCAGCAGTAATCATCCATCTATTATTCGTCCGGACATAACATTAGTACATCACGATATAGGAGTAAGAAGTCGTCAGTAGATTTCTTCAGTCATTCTGAATAACTTGAATTTAGTGGAATAGTACTTCTACTCACATAAGTCAATTTTGTCCACGTACTAAATGTGCCGACAACAATATTTGAATTGATTGCGTATGACAAACATTAAACCTCACCACCACATTACAGTTTAACTATGTATGTCATCTGCTCTAAAATTGTCGTATGGCGGTTCACGAAATCCAGACTCACGAACAGGGCAGTAAAGTGTCTTGATTTTGTGAAAGGTTTGGCCGACTTATTAACGACGAGCTTCCATTCGATGAAAGCTTAGTACATTGTTAGGATGGATTTTCAAAAACGACTTCACATCATTCTCCTTAAAATCGATATCGGTCGAAATGAAGATAGACGGTAGTATTTGCCAACAAACTTTGAGCGTTCTGAAGTTTCAAACTGTCACACTAACTACTAGATATCGGTTATGTACATGTAGTATGCGCGCTTGTTTCGGAACCTAATGTAAAATTGGTAGTTAATAGAATTTATAAGACTGAACTGGGTACTTCCCCTTGTTGTGGCTTCATTCGCTGGATTTCGAAACCTGACTGTCTTTCAAATACCGATTCAGTTTCAATCGCCAGAAATTGTGACCAGCTGTGAGGTGAAAAGGTGACTATTTGTAATTTTTCAGATTGATTAGGTAGTAGATTAGTCTATTTCCAACACAAGTTAGGTTCAGTCAACAATTAGAAGCAACCAGTTGACAAATGAGTAAGGTGTTTACAATATTCCTTTCTGGTGATTGTAGTTTGTTCGATTGAACATTTCACTGGCACTCTGGATAGGGTATTTCGAAATTGATTCGGACCCAGGTTTCTCTTCATTTAAAAGTCAGAATTCTCAATATATTGGCCAAGACGGTTTTGTTGTACAGAAGTGGAACTCTGAAATCTACTTCAAACATCGTTGAATGTGGACAAATACGTGGCTTAAGTTACATACGATTGTGTTCATCAGTTTACATG